GGACTTGAAGCACTTACTGATGAAGATCAAAGACTATAGCCTTGAATATTAATTACAGCTCCATGTAAAGAAAACAAAAGTCTTCACAACTGAAATAAACAACATTATGATAAATGGAGAAAAAAGATTAAAGTTGTCAAAGATTTCATTTTGTTTGGATCTACTATCAATGCTTTTGGAAGCAGCAGTCAAGGAAATCAAAAGACACTGCATTGGGCAAATCTGCAAAAGAATTCTTTAAAGCATTCAAGAGCAAATATGTCAGTTTGAAGACTAAAATGCCCCTGACCCAAACCACGGTATTTTCAGTCACCTCATGTGCATGCGAAAACTGGACAATGGATAAGGAAGTGCAGTGAAGAATTGATGCATTTGAACTGTGGTGTTGGTAAAAGATATTGAAAGTACTGTGGTCTACCAGAAGAACCAAACAAATCTGTCTTGGGAGAAATACAGCCAGATTGGCTCTTAGAAACAAGAGTGGCAAGACTTTTTCTCTTGTATTTTGGACATGTTATCAGGAGGGACAATTTCCTGGAAAAGGGCATCATGTTTAATAGAGACTCAGACCCCCTATGAGATGGATTGACACAGTGGCTGCACCCATGGGCTCAAACCTAACAACAGTTGTGAGGATGGCACAGAACCTGGTAGTGTTTCAGTCCGGTGTACATAAGTTTGCTATGAGTGGAAACCAACTTAGTGGTACCTAACAAGAACATCCTGCTGGTTTTCAGACAACTTGATATCAGAGATGCAAAAAAAATGCACATTGTAGAATAGATGCCTGCATGCTTTTTAGAATTCACTTTCTGTAGGTGAGATCAGACTAGTGATGTGCATCCAGAGTTTTTTGTTTTTTGTTTGTTTTTTTGTCCCTGCCAGCTCTGAAAATCTCCAACTTCCTTTTTCATGCTGACGGTCACCTTCCTACTACCCCGCTGGCTGCCTCACTGTCCCTCCCACCATGCTGATACTAGAGAACCATCCTGTACTCATTTTGTGCCCACTTAGGACTCCCTGAAATGGATTCCTAAAAGTAGAATTGTGGGATGCAAGGGCATATTTTAAATTTTGGTTTGCATCATTTGTTTCCCCTGAAGCTTATACTGATGTGCGTGCATGCACACACACGCACCCAAGAACAGCTTTTGAGAGGACCTTTTAAACAACTTCTAATGCAGAATCTTTGGGCTCCTGGTGTGATGCTGTAGGGTCAGCATTGGACTGTGAATTACAAGGTCAGCAGTTCAAATCCACCAACTGCTCCTCAGAAACCCTATACAAGGTTACTATGAGTGGGAATCAACTTGATGACACTTAACAATGACAGCAACATTGCACTGCCCCCACCCACCTAAAGATGAAGAAACTAAGGTCCCAAGAAGTAAGAACCTCATCTGATGTCACAGGTGGTAGAGCTGGACTAGACCCAAGCCTCCTTGTGTCCTGGATGCTGTTGTCGCTAAGGTGCCACCCTCTTAATGCTGACTCAATTGCCTGATGCTTTCACTCTCGCTCAGACACTTTCCATGGCTCCCTAGTGCCTACAAGATTAACTCCAAATTTCACCCACCTACTACTACCTCTTCCTTAGGAGGCAAGCAATTTTATTTAACGGAACCTCTTTTCCCCTTGGTGTTTATGGGTTCACAGACATGGAGTGAGTTCAGCGCTCTGACCAGCACTTAGTGCATAATGAGTGCTCAATTAATGGGAGTGATTCTTTTTATCAGGATTAATCTGGGCACCTGGGTTCTGAGCATCCCGAACTTCCCAATAGCCCTGGGTTTTGTGGAGACAGGGCTGATTTGATCATGTTTTTGAGTTCTCAGTCATCAGCTACGGGGTGGGAATGCAAGTGGTCTTTGGGGTCCTGGGGGGCCCTCCCAACAGAGGAAGGAGGGTCTCAGTTGGGTTTCAGTCCGGATCTGAGGAGGAGCTGGGTCTTGCCAGTCTGCTCTTGCCAGCCAAGTGATTCTTCTCCATTCCCTTCCCTCCCTGATTTGGCCTCTCTTTGCCACCAACTGTGGAATCTTATGCAAAAAGCCTCTCCCAGCTGAACCTCAGTTTCCCTGGTTTACATTCAGGAAGATTGGTATTGCCCTCTTGGAGTGATATAGGCATCAGTGGAGGTAATCAAGGCAAACGATAAAGTGTGGTACGTGTGTTCAGACGCAGCCACCTTGCTCTCACCTCCCTTCAGGGCTCCACTCAGGTCCAGCCCTGCTCCCATCCCAGTTGGCTCTCCCTCCCTCCCTCTCTCTCTCCCTGCCATCGCGGAGCGCTGGCTCCCGGCATGCCGCGCGCTGACAGCCTTATAAATAGTCGCCTTTGCGGGCGGCCAGCGGAGGACGGGCAAGGCACGCACTGGCCCCTGGCGCCCACTCGCACCCCTCCCCCAGGTCAGTGTGCGAGAGTGTGTGTTTGAGCACATGCACCTATTTGGGGAGAGGGGAGCTGCACCTGGGCTGGGGGGAGGGGGAGACTGTGTTTGTGTCAGGGTGTCTGTGGGTTTTATGTGTGTCTGTTTGTGTCCATGGTTGTGATCTGTGTGTCTCTGCCTGTCTGCGTCTGTATTCCACAGCCTCTGAGTGTTTGTGCCACACTGTGTTTATCTTTGTGGATCAGTGTGTGTGGTGTGTGTGTGTGTTGCAGCGCCTCCCAACCTCCTAGACACTCACCCCTTTGTCCTAATGGACACGCCTGGGGGTCTGGGTCCCTGCCCTTGGCACGCCCCAGCTGGGGCTCAGGGATGGGGGGCTGTGACCTGACTCCTTGCCCTGAAGGACCTGGTCAGGGCAGCCTATGTACCCATTGGGGGCTGTTCTGTCATGTGACTTTGAGGCTGGGGTACAGGAAACCCCTTGGATGTTGGACCTTGTGCCTCAGCCTCCTGGAAAGGTGGAAGCTCTGTGGTTGCTGTGGGGTGAGCACTGCTCAGCTACCCCACCCAGGACTCTTCAGCAGCAGCAGGACAGGGTCTGAGGGTGCAGGCCCAGAGAGGGATGCTGGCTGCCCAAGGTCACACAGCTGAGTGATGGAGCTGGGCTTTGAACACTAGTCTGTTACCTACTACTGAACAGGCTGGTGTTGCCTAGTGCCTGGGATTAAAAGATTACTGTACTGAACCTTGGCTTCCCAGGCCTCTTAGCAGACCACCCAGTCAGTCATGCTAGGAGTTGCTGAGACCCTGACCTGTAGGCCCTATAAGGTCTGGGTGATGAGCCCGTAACCCAACCCCACAGGGGCCCCCTGGCCTCTGTGAGGCCTCCTCACCACCCAAGCTATTTTGGACCAAGGAAGTGGTAGGTGCCAGAAGGACAGAGGGGCTTAGGTTACCGGAGGGGGGGCAGGGGGAATAGGTGAGGTGGGATCCAGGCCACTCCTCAAGGCTGGTCCTGGCCCTGGAGCCCTCCTCCTTCCCTGGCAGCTGCCAAGGGGTGTTTGGCAGCTCCTGCCCCTCCTTAAGCACACTCAGCAGGAAAAGAGCTATGATTCATACCCCATGAGCAACAGGGACAGTCCCCAGAGCTGCTAAGGTCCTACTAGGTGCCAAGCTCCTAGAAAATGCAGACCCAGGTCCAACTCCAGCCAACTCTGAGCAAACCTCTCCTTCTCTCCAAGCCCCCAGTCACTTCCTGGTAGACTCCCCTGCCCTCAGCCCACTCGAGCCTGCTGTGAGGGTGGAAAGAGGCTCCCTATTCTGTGTTCAGCTCATTCCAGGCCCAGTCTGGTGGGGGACACAGGCCTGCAGTCAGACAGGTATATGTTATACAATGTGTGATGCTAGGGGACATTCAGAGGAGGCATCTACCTATGTAGGTATGATAGGAAACCAGGAAGGCTTCCTGAAGGAGGTGGTACCTGATGTAACTCCTAAACAATAGCCAGTTGGGGAAAGACTCCAGGCATTGAGTATGACATCAACAAAAGCCTGGACATGGGGCATCATAATTGTAGGCATGGGAGCACCAAACCAACAGTTTAAGTGAAGCTGGTAAGGAGAGGGTGGCAGGGGCCAGATAACAACAGGCCTCAGCTCAGGTCCCCTCAACTATGCCAAGAGTCCCAGGCTTTACCTAGGAAGGGTTGTAAACAGTTAAGTAACATGGTTTGACATTTGTCAGAGAAAATTGTACAGATGGCTGGGGAGGAAGGGAGACCCATGCTGAGACTGGGACAGTGGCCTAGGTACCCTGCCTGGGACAAAGAAATGATAGGAAAGATATAGATTAGAGAGGGTTAGGAGATGGTGAGTCTGGAAGTGGGTATGCAGACCTGGAACTGTGCATGTTGTCAGAATCTGAGGGGGTCTGAAGACTACCAAAGCATAGGGTGGAGCTGAATACAAAGGGAAGTGGGGTGTGAAGCAAGACCCTCAAGAGGGTGAGAGGAACAGGGGCCATGCAGGGTGGAAGGAAGCCAAACCCTGCATGGGCCAAGATCCTGGGACCATCACTCTTTGAAAACTGTTGAAGTAAGTGGCTTTGACAGAATCTCCCCTGCTCCCCTGGAACTTCGCTCTCTCTTAGAGCATCCTTGTCCGAACTTCATTCCAGGTGGGGACAACAAGGCCCAGAGAGACAAAGGATGTAGCACAGTGAGGTGACGTGGGAGGTGGACTCTGGGGAGTGTTGTCAAGGTGTCCTCAGATGCTGGGCCACACCCTGTTTTCTGGTAGTTGCATGGAGAGCAACTCAGCCTTGGTTGTCGCTGTTTACACCTCTCAGGACTGCCTCACCCTCCTTGGCCCTCCAACTGGACAGGTGTAGATTGCTACCCCTTCACCCCCGTGACAGGTGAGAAAACTGAGGCACAGAGAGGAAAGGTCACTGAATTTATTGGGCCTTCTCTGGTTCATAGTGGTCCCCTCTGTCTTCAGAGCATAAGATGGGGCCTGGACACCTTGGGTATGACTTGGTGGAGCAGAGGTGAGGAGGGGAGCAGAATCGTCCTCACCCAGCTCAACTGTGCCCTTGTCTTACAGAGTGCTGACTCAGCTCCCTGGACCTCAGCAGGATGACAGGTACAGAGGTTCTTCCCTTTTCCTGCTCCCTACCTGGGCCTCAGTGTGCCCATCTGCAAAGGGGGCATGCTCTTGGTGAAGCATTCTGGGAAGGGGTTGGAGGACACTCTGGTCTACCAGAGATGAGGGAGTCTTTCACAAGACTTGACAACTCTAAGGTTAATTTTAGAATAGATGAGGCCTTTAAGGCCCCACAGCAAAACTTCTAAGCTGATATTTATAGAGGAGAAGGGTGGGCATGGGGAAAGATCACAGATATGCAAAATACAGAGCCTCATGAGCAGTAGGTTCTGCCTCTCTCAGAGACTCAGTATCCCTAACATCCAATGGGGGTGGGCTTTGAGGATGCCTTGGGCTCTCCTGACTCCTATGGACTAGGACCTGGAGATGTGGGTGGACAGAGAGCACTGTGCTTTGGTTGGAGCAGCTCTTAAATGAACTCAGTGGCCCTGCCTCCTGCTGTGTGCCTGAGCCAGTGGTTACTCTGCCACTGTGAAGCTCTAGCCAGCAGCCACCATTGGAGGCTGACTTCCCTCCACACCCCCAGGCTCATGCCTTTTATATAGGACTGTGACAACTCCCTTAGGACCCAGGAATCAGGGTTTCAAGCCTCATGGCCAGCAAGGCTGCTGGGAACTGCTGGGAACTGCTAAGCCCACCTCCTCACTGGAGAGTCTTTCCTAAACTCACATAGCAAAGTGGAATCTAACCAATCCCCTATTTCCCAGAGTGTCAAAAATCTTGGATAGAAGACCTGGGAAGAGAGGCCCGGGTTCCAGTTCAGATTCTGAAAGCCCCTTAAGCAGGCCCCTGCCTCTCTAGGCCTTAGTTTCCCTCTGTCAAGTTTAGTTGTGGTCTTGCTGAGTTCTAAGGGCCCGAAAGGCAGAAGTTACAAAGTAAGCTTGCCTCCCTTTCTGGGCAAGGGTTCCACATACCCACCGCAGCCCTCCTCTCTAGCAACTGTCTCCATGGCAACATATGTTATGGTTGCCAACTCGACAGTAGTGCTGGCCTTGGGATCTGGCAATGGTCAAGTCCAGGGCCTGAGAAGGATAGGACTGGGGACACAGCAGAACAGGACCATGGGGACCTGCTGCTCAGCGCCGAGTAACCTCCGCAGTGAGGACGTCAAGGCCAGAGGTGTCCCTGCCCCTGCAATGCAGCCACCCACAAGGAAAGGCCACAATGGTTGGCCTGCGGGCTTTGCCTACACTGGGCCCTCTGCCCAGAATGCCCTCTCATCACTGACCTCTCCCAGCCCCTGGACTTCCTCACAGTTCACCCTGGCTATAACTTGTCAGCCACCCCCACACCCCTGACCACCCCACCCCCCACAATCGGGAGTGTGAGCTCTGTGTGTCCCTGGTGCTGGAGATCAGCTCAGGCTTGGTACTCTTGAAATGCCTCTAGCGCTATGTCAAGAGAGTGACTGAACTGTGTTCCCTCTTCTCTTCCACAGAGAAGCTGAAGACCACCAAGATCATCTTTGTAGTGGGTGAGTTGGAGGCAGGCCTAGCGGCCGGGTGGTACTATAGGGAGGGTCTTTGAAGGCACTGGTGGGAGCCAAGCCTGGGACTGTACCCTCGGCCCCATGTCCCTCCAGGGGCTCTGTTTCTTGGTGCTGAATGTGTGGGCGCTTTACAGGAGGGCCTGGCTCAGGGAAGGGCACCCAGTGTGAGAAGATTGTCCAGAAGTATGGCTACACCCATCTCTCCACCGGGGACCTCCTTCGGGCCGAGGTCAGCTCAGGCTCAGACAGGGGCAAGATGCTGTCAGAGATCATGGAGAAGGGCCAGCTTGTGCCGCTGGTGAGTGGACCCTGGTGGGCTGGGGGTAGGGGTTAAGGCCTTGAGTGGACACCAGTGATAAAGCCCCTGACATATTGGCAGGGCTGACATAACCTTCCTGGCTCTGAAGCCTCCTGTGTCTCCCCATTATCCTTCTAGAAAGTTCCTTCCAGAGACTTCCAAGACCCTGTGGGACATTGCCCTGTTGACCTTCATCCTCATGTTGCCAACTCTCCACCCTGGCTTTTCTGTTCCTCAAACTCACTAAACTCCTTCCTACTTCAGCTTTCAGAACTCCCTGGATCTCAAATTTTGACCCCCCATTTTATATTCCAGTGTCCCCTTCTTTGCCCATGCAGCCTGTTCCATGCTTGGAAATAGATAAATCAACGATGTAATTGTCCTTTACCAGACTGTGAGTTTCCTGAGGGCACAGGAGTTCTGTTTTGTTTAAGACTGTGTCCCTCAGAGCCCAGAATAAGACCTGGCTGGGAAAAGAGGTTCAGTAAATATTGTTGAATGAATGAATGAATGACCCAATCACCCAATCAGTTGAAGGGCTTCAAGGTTCAGAGAAGGCTTCCTAGAGAGGGAGGCTTGTTCGAGTCGTCTGAGTTCAAGGATGAGGGCTTCCAGGTGGTGGGAGCAGCCCAAAGGCCCAGAGGAAGGGAAGCTCATGATCCTTTCCCTTTGGCTGCGACCCCCAGGAGACGGTGTTAGACATGCTCCGAGATGCCATGGTGGCCAAAGTAGACACTTCCAAAGGCTTCCTCATTGACGGCTACCCACGGGAGGTGCAGCAGGGAGAAGAGTTTGAGCGGCGGGTAAGGCATAAACCTGGCGGGGTCGGCCTTGAGGAGCTGTGATACAGGGCAGTCAGGTAGAGACTGAGTGGTGGGTGGACAGAGGTAGACTGATTCCTGAGCAGGAGGGAAGAAAAGGAGAAAGAGGAGGAGGTATGCAGACAAGGAGGGGAAACCAGAGAACATTCACTGGAAGAAGAGGCATGGAAAATGAAGCAGCAGTCTGAGGAGTTCACACAACTGGGCTCAGGTTCCAGCTCAGCCTTCAACCACTGGGACCTTGTGCCAAATATTCCACCCCTCTGAACCTCAGTTCTCCCATCTTCAAAATGAGGGGAGGTAAGTCACAGTTGTCCTGAGGGGCATCTGTGGGGATTAGGGAGATGTACCCTTCCAGAGTGGGGTTTGGCACTCCATAAACACAGAGGTACAGGGAGCAGCATGGACAGGGCTGGAAAGATAAGGGGCCAATCCCTTGAGGATGATGTGGGAGAGAGAGGTTCAGGCCTGACTGCCAGAGTAGGGAGTCTGGGCTCCCTCTAGCTAGAAAGAGCAGGCTTTGGGGTTGATGACTCTGAGCTGCCTAGAATGGGCTCCCACCAGGAAAACCTTCCACAGAGGGGGCACCTTGCAGAGACACCCACATGTACACTGCACATAGAAATATGTGCACACACATCTACATAGGTGTATACATGTATATTCACAGACATGCATATACAGTTCCACACACATGCACACACATCACACACACACACTCATACTTCTGGTGTCACAAGGTCACAGAAGGGAAACAGACAGCACCACAAGTGCCCAGGGAAGAGAGATCCGCAAGGGTGGGTGAGGGGTCAGGGAGGGCTTCCTGACAGAAGGACTAGGAAGGACCTTCACAGGAGGAACTGGGGACCCCTCCCTGGGCCTTGTATTCTCCACTCCTCATCTCCAAGGGACTCTGGTTATCTTTGGGCTACCAAAGCTTCATCGTAGGGCAGGAGACTACACTTCTTGATCTCTAATTGGCTGCACATCTCACAAAAGTGTCTTCCCTGCTCTGGGCCTCAGTTTCCCTATATGTGCAATAGGAGTTGGCTAAGCCTTCTTCAGACCAGGAAGCTATGGTTCCCTAGTCAGAGGCCAGGCAGCCGAGAGGGAATATGTGTGATGTCACCTCTGAGCCTCAGAGCTGCATCTAGAAAACAGTTAATGAAAGTCCCCATCCCTTCTGGGCTGCTCTGGGTGTTATTGAGGGCTGTGAGCTCAGCCTGACTGTGGTCTCCAGCAAGTCTGGGTAATTGGTCTTCTTGACTCTGGACACCAGGGGGAGCCAAGACCCTGCTGACAGAAGAAGGACCTGCCTGGGGATTGTGGCTTGTAGGCCCAGCTCTTTCCTCTGGGGTGGGACAGTGACCAGTATCAACTTGCCAAGTTTCATACCCATTGTTCTGGCTGGGAAACTGAGGTCCACAGCCATTACCTCAGCTCAAGAGTCCCAGCCCAGAGGCTCAGTTAGACCTCATCAATTTCCTAACTCTGCCTGAGGTGTTAGCTGCCCTTGGTGTATAAAGAGCCTACTGTGCTTGGGCCTGGTCAGTGGTTCAAACCCATCAGCCAGTCTTCAAGAGAAAGATGAGGTTGTCTGCTTTTATAAAGACTTACAGTCTTGAAAACCTGACTTCAGGTTGCTAATGAGTTGTAATTGATTCATTGACAGTGGGTCTGTTTTTTGGTTTTGGTGCTTGGATCCTGGGGACTCAGATGAATCAGAGACTGTGAGTGAGGACCCTGGAGGCACTCAGCGGCTGATGGAGGGCCATGAAGTTCATGACCTTGGATCTGGGGTTAGCTCTGCCTCTCACCTTAACTGTCACCTGAATCCTTAGCTACTCAGAAGACAGGGAGGAGAACTAGGCACTTCTTACAATCAAGGAAGCAAAGGCTCAGTGAAATCAAGTGACTTGCCCAAAGTCACATAGCTGGTGAGAGGCAGAGATACTGGTGTAGTCCAGGTCAGTCTGACGCTATAGGTCAGGCTTCTACTTGCCAAACCCCTGCCAGGGCAGTGCCCAGAGTCTGCATGAGGAGTCTGGGACAGCAATTCTCAGGGACCAATAGAAATAGTCAGGGAGAAGTAGGAGGACCTGACTCCAATCCTGAGGCATGGCAGCTGTGGGTGGTTCTCTTCACCTCCGTTCACCTGGCCCCTAGCTTCAGTGAAGTATCAGGGGCCTTCCTCAATTGGGGCATGCCTGGCTCAGGCTGGGCCAGGACTTAGAATCTAGAGTGACCGAGAGGAAAAGCCCTGCTCTCATGGACTCATGGTCAGGCAGAGGCAAAGGGCTGCCCTCTTTGGTTTCACGTAGAGAGAAGCCTGGGCCGGGGTCTGTGGAGAGGTGCTTATTTCTCTTTCCCCTTCTAAGTCCCCCGCAGATGACACATGACCTCAGTGACAGTGCCCTTGCTTAGACCCTTGCAGAACTTTGCAGCTCTCACCCCTTCACTCATTCTGCCTTCCTTTGCCAAGTCATTACCTGGCACCTCGGGGTATAAGACAGCTACTTCCCTGTCTTCAGGAAACCCCAGCCTTGCTGGGGAGAGAAACATGAAATAACCAGAGACCCTTATGAGATGTACTTGACGGCCTGGAGAAGCATGTTGTGGGGGTGGCATCTGGGGGTGGCAGAAATGAGGTTTGAAGGAGAGTGGTTGGTATTGAGGTGAAGGTAAGAATCAGGTAGGGGGAACAGGCCAAGTCAAGGCCTGACATGGGGAGGTGGGAGGGGTGGGAGTGTTGCTGAGAGCCTAAGGTAGACAGCAAGTCGTGTGGCTGAAGCATGAAGTGTGAAGGAACAAGTGGCAGGAGATGGGGAGGACAGAGTCTGATTAGGAAAGCCCTCTTCCAAGTGAGGAGTTTGGACTTTCTCCTGAGGGCACTGGGGGGTCATGGCAGAGATTTGATCAGGAGAGTGGCAGGACTGGTAGGTTTAGGCCACTGTTGTTGTTATGTGCCATGGAGTCGGTTCTGACTCATAGCGACCCTGTACAGGGTTTCCAAGGCTGTAAATCTTTACGGGAGCAGAAAGCCTCATCTTTCTCCCATGGAACAGCTGGTAGTTTCGAACTGCTGACCTTGTGGTTCGCAGCCCGATTCATAACCACTACGCTACCTGTGATTGGTGCCCCACCATCAGATTGGACAGCCCACACTGCTGCTGTATGTGGACGCAGGCGCCGAAACCATGACCCAGAGGCTCCTGAAGCGTGGAGAGACCAGCGGGCGTGTAGACGACAATGAGGAGACCATCAAGAATCGGCTGCAGACCTACTACAAGGCCACAGAACCCGTCATCGCCTTCTACGAGAAACGTGGCATTGTGCGAAAGGTCCGAGGGGAGCCCCCAAACCCAGGCTCTTACCTGGCTCAGCCTCTATTTGCTGTGTAGCGTTGGCCCAGCCAACCATTCTGAGCCTCACTTTCCCCAATTTGTTCAATGAGGGGCTGCTTTTCCTCTCTGGCTAGGACCTGGCCTGGCCTCTGCAGAAATGTCCCTCCTGCCTCAGTAGGGCCCACCCAGCCCTTCCCAGCATGCGGTCATGGGAATCCCTCCCAGGCTTCTGTTCTTCATGGCCCCTCTCCCCTACAGGTCAATGCTGAAGGCTCTGTGGACAGTGTTTTCTCCCAGGTCTGCACCCATCTGGATACCCTGAAGTAGCAAAGTTTGGAGTCTTCCCCAGCTCAGAGTCCCACCCCTCCCTATCTGACTCCAGGCTGTCCTGGCCCAAGCCCAACACCTCCACCCTACCCGGCTGGAGCACAGACAGAGGAAGCTACGTTATCCTGTTTTCATGGACAGCCGAGCACTAAAGGAATTTCCAAGGACGTTTGGTTTTACTCATTTTGTTTGCTCCCAATCAGAGTGGATGCACATGGTTGACCAACCCCGCTCCTTGCACTCCTAGCCCCTCACTCTCCTGTGTCTCCTGCAGCTGTCTGCTCCCTTTGACAGTTGCCCCTCCCTTAGCTGCAGTGAAATCGCAGGACCCGTCCTCAAGCAGGGCATGCCCTGCCCCGTCTGTGCCTCTGTGCCGGGCTAGGCCTCAGTCTGGGTTTTTCTCCATTCTTGCTATGAGCCTGTTTTCTTATCCTTTGTTTCTGAGCAATTACTCTGTGCTTAACCTCCATTGGGCCTAGGCTGCGATGCCAATGGGGTTCCCTCCTCTTGCCTTTGGGGCTTCCTGGGCTTCTTGAGCTGTGAACTGGTGTTCAGTTAGCCTGGGCACAAGATGCTGTGAGGGTCTAGAAACATTCTGGGGTTATGTCAGGGGAGACTTCACTGAGGAGGTAAAACCTGAAGAAAGCCCGCTTTGTGGCCCTGGATAGGTCACAACATGCTTTCTTTGAGCTAGTTCCAAATCTGTAAAGCAGACTCAGTGATCCTCCCATTTGTTCCTCCAGGTTAAATAAGAATGCCCTGAGCGAGGGGTATGGGTTCTCACACCCTGTGGAGAGCTAGAGACCAGCGTGCAGGGCCAGAGATATATTGGGGTGCCCCAGAATCTCCAAGGAGAACAACCTTTCTCTTCTGTTCTCCTTCACTCTTTGACCTCATCCGGGAGGAGGCTTTAGGTGGTGCTCACGTGTCCTTAATGCCTCTCCAGCCTTGCTGGGCTCTTCCTAAAGCCAAGCAAGTCGGTTCCAGCCTTCAGGGGCCACACACCAGCAGAAATGAAATATTCCATCTTTTGAGGTTGTGCTTGTTTTATATCCTCTCTTATTTATGGCAAGTTTTCCATTTAGGGCTGGTTTTCCATTTACATTAGTGATTTAAAATTTCCTTTTAAATAAATCTATTTAAGTTATAAAAGGTGAGTCTGTTGAAAGAGGAACATGGAATCAAGAAATGATAGGACGGGAGACAGGAGAAAGCAGGCTTCATTATGTGGCTGGTAGGATGTGACCACAGCCGTGGTGGTGTTCCTGACTCACCAGACCATGTGAGCCATCCTGCCTGGGAGGGGTCTGAGATGAAGGCTGTTACCCCCTACTCTGAGGTTAGTCTCTCTGCTCCTCCCATCAGAACGTACACCTTCCCCATACCATGAGCACACAGCTTCCTCTTGGGGCTGTCTGAGGAACAGCATGAGGATTAGTAGAAAAATCAGTCAAAATTAGAAAGAAATTCACCAAAATTAGCATGTTTATTATAGTTTTACTAACTCAGGCATAGTTATGAAAAACTTTGACCCAAACTACTCACCACAGAATAGCTTTCTTTAATCATATAAGAATATATATATATATATGTATTTTTATATGATTAAAGAATGTATTTATATATATATATAGATAGATAGATAATATGTTCTGTATACACTGTTGTTGTAAAGTATCATCAAAGTCAGTTCCTACTCATAGTGACCCTGTATAGGGTTTCCAAGGAACAGCTAGTGAGTTTGAACCACCAACCTGTGGCCTAGTTTTTTTTAAATCACCACCACACCACACACATCCCTCATGCACCACACATAAACCCTATACCACTAACACACATACACCATACCACATACACACACACTAGAATGTACACCTTCCCCATATCATGAACACACATCTTCCTCTTGGGCTTGTCTGAGGATCAGCATGAGGATTAGTAGAAAAATAAGTCAAAATTAGAAAGAAATTCACCAAAATTAGCATATTTATTATAGTTTTACTAACTCTGACATTTGCCTATATATTGACCATGACTTATAGGTTCAATGACACAGCCAACAAAATGATCAATAGCTAATACTCTGCCCTCATGCAAATATTCCCAATTGTCCCTAAAATGTCTCTTAACATTCTATGACCATACATTGTATTTGGTTGCATTATAGTCTAGATGTAGCGTAGTGGTTACGAATCGGGCTGCGAACCTTAAGGTCAGCGGGTCGAAACTACCAGCCGCTCCGCGGGAGAAAGATGAGGCTTTCTACTCCCGTAAAGATTTACACCCTCGGAAACCCTGTACAGGGTCGCTATGGGTCGGAACCGACTCGATGGCACTTAACAACAACAACAACATAGTCTAGAAAAGTTCCCTCTTCCCTGCCTCTTTAAAATGACATTGGTCTGTCCCCTGCAGAAAATTCCTCCTAGATCTCTGTTGCTTCCTTGTGGTGTCCTTTAACTTTCCCCTCCCTCCCCTAAATCACCCACAAACTGGAGGTTGTAAAGCTTTCATAGATACAGGTTAGGTAAGTACCTGGTGTAGTTCTGTGGGTTAATGCACTGGACTGCAAAGTCGGTTTGAACTGCAAGGTGGGTAGTTCAAAACTGACTGGATGGTATTTAACAACAACAACCTGATAGATGATGCTCATGAAGGGTTTTAAAACCTGGTGAGTGGGTCAGATCTGCAGAGCTTCCAGCTTTAAACCATACAAAACCCATGGCCATCTAGTGAATTTGGACTCATAGCAACCCTATCGAGGGTTTCTGAGGTCTCTTTATGGGAGCAGACCCATCTGTCTCCTGAGGAACAGCTGATGGGCTTGAATCACTGACCTTGCAGTTAGCAGCCCAAAGATTAACCCACAGGATCACCAGGGCTCTTGTTTTCAGGTGGGCATGGTGTAACAGTGGGCTTGAGAAGGTCAACGTTATCACATTCTCTTCATCTCTAGGGACTTTGCAGGCAGCAGTTTGGCAAAATGTGCTGGTACTTTGAAACTAGTCAGTAGATTAATGCCTTTATAACTTGGGGCCTTGGAGAGGGAGTGCTCCCTGGCAGGCTCCACTGGGGTGGTGGCCTCAGTTGCCTCCCCCTGGACTGTACCACCCTTGTCTTGGCCTCAAAAGCCCTAAGGGCTGGGGCCGGAGGCGCTGAAGTGGGAGAGGAAGGAAGCCAGAGTAGAAGAGGCCAAGGCTGTTGCCTCTCAGCCTGGAGAGGGGCTACAAGTAAACAGGAAGATCTGGCGGCTCCACAATGGGGGCGTTTGGAGAGGTGGGGAGACCAGGAGTCCTAAAGGACATGCGCAGTCTGAAAACACAAGGCTTCCTCTCTGGAGAATAGGCCCAGAGAGATTGTGTGGTTTGTTTGTCCCAGGCCACCAGCAAGGCAGCGACACAGGCCTAAACTTCTGCCTCCTCCTCTGTTCGGCTCCTCTCTTGGGGTTCTGGTGCTGGGTCAGGTGTTGCTCACCATGGCTTTGCCCTTCTAAGTACTTGAAGCCCTTACAACTTAGAGATTCTAGAACTCTGGCCCAATGCAATCCTACCTCCTAGGTGGTCTCATGGGTTTTTCAGCTTTTATCAGGAAGGCCAGCATTACCAAGGATTTGGAAGCTGCCAGACATCAGAGCCCCTCCCCTGGGGAAAGATAGGAAGATTTTGAGGGATCCCATGAGTTGGTACTGACTCGATGGCACCTAACAACACAACTCTTATAGAGCAAATAAGTCACCGGTGGAGCCATTGACCTCTGTGACCCCCTTTTTCAGAGACCCTGAATGTCCCCAACATGGGGACTCAGAATCATAAACTATGAAACCTTGACTCATGTTGCCCAGTGATTAAGTCTCCTTATTTATCCCATAAGCATTTAATGAATGCCTACCCAAGACCAGACACTATTCTAAGTGATGGGGATTCAATAGTGATCAAAGCAAAGTCCCTTCCCTAATGGAGCTTCCATTCTAGAGGGAGAGACATATAAAATGAATATATATTGTTGTTGCTAAGTGCCGACATGTAGGTTTCAACTCAGTGACCCTGTATAAGGTTTCTGAGGAGCAGCTGGTGGTTTTCAACCACAGAGCTTGTGGTCCAGGGCTTATCAGACCAGGATGCCTAAATGAGTATATTGTATATCAGATTTGATATGTGTCCTGAAGTAGGATTATTTTAAATACAATGGTGGGCAAAATTGTGACTGATAAGTAACATTTAACAAGATACTTACAGGATGAGGGAGCAATCTCTGAGACTGTAAGGGAAGAGTATTTCAGGGAGAGGAAGAGAAAGCAGTAGTGCAAAGGCCCTGAGGTGGGTGCAAGCTTGGCACATTCAAGAAGCAGCACAAAGACCAGCATGCCTGGAGAGTAGTGAGCAAGGGGGAAGACAGAAGGTGAAGCTGGAGTGGGGCATGGGACTTGACCATTTGAAGGACTTGGGCTTTTACTTTGAGTGACATGGTTTCCTGGGGAGGTGTTGAGCAGATGAGGGGTGGAATTGGACTTTGTTTTAACAGGATCCATTTTCAGTGTAGAGAAAGGGGAGTGGGAAGGTAGAATCAAAGAGAGACCAGTGAAGAGTCGGTGGCATTATTCCAAGAAATGCTGGTGACTTGGACCAAGGCAGTAGCTGTGGGGTGGTGAGACGTGGACTGGATGGCGCCTAAAACAACAACAATCTTTACAGAAGTAAATGGGCAGACCTTTCTTCTGCAGTGCTACTGGATGGGTTCAAACTGTCAACTTTTACATTCGTTACTGAGCACAAACCACTTGTGCCACAGTGGTACCTTAAAAAGGATGTTAGAGCAGCATCATATTTCATGGCCAAGACTATCCAGTGGGAAATGAGGCCCATAGAGTGACTTATGATCAGCATTTGAAAGAAAATGGGACAGGATAGATGCTTTCCACATGCCTGTCACATTGTCAGGGTATACAAGGGTACTTCAAAAAGATAATGAAAAATGGAGCATTAAACAGATGCAGATGCAGGAGGCTGGTTGGTTGTGGTCTTTTAGGACTCCGGCCAAAGCTCTGATCCTCATGAGGCCTCAGCCGGCTAGACTCCCTATTTTCTACCCACCTGTAGCCATGTTGTTGAGACTCTGACACCATGTTCAAGGTGCACTTTGTGCAGGGCTCCATCCTGAAGAAAGTGCTAGAGGCACTCAAGGACCTCATCAGTGAGTGATCCTGCAAGATTATGGATTCTTCCCATGTCTCCCTTGTGCAGCTCACTCTGTGTTCCAAGGGCTGTGACTACAACCTAGCCATGGGGGTGAACTTCACCAGCATGTCCCAAATACTGAAATGTGCTGGCAGTGAAGACATCATTAAGCTAAGGGTTGAAGATAATGTGGACACCTTGGCACTAGGATTTGAAGCACCAAACCAAGAAAAAGTTTCAGACTATGAAATGAAGTTAATGGATTTAGGTATTGAACAACCTGGAATTCTAAAACAGGAGAGTACAGGTATGTAGTAACAATGCCTTCTGGTGAATTTGCACATACGTGCCAGGATCTCAGTCATATTGTAGATGCTGTTATCTTTTCCTGTGCAAAAAGTGAAATTTTCTGTTGTGGAGAACTTGATAATGGAAATATTCATTTGTCACAAACAAGTAATGTTGCTAAAGAGGCTGTTACTATAGAGGTAAATGTACTAGTTCAGCTAACTTTTGCACTTAGATACGTAAACTTCTTTACAAACGCCATTCCATTCTCTCCTACAGTTACATGCAGTATATCTCCTGATGTACCCCTTGTTGTAGATAATAAAATTACTGATATGGGACACTTAAAGTACTATTTGTCTCCCAAGATCGAGAATGAAGAAGGATCTTACACACTTAAAATTCAAGAAAATCAACAAAGCTCTTTGAGAACTACTTCTGAGATGCCACCATGTGCTTGAGTCTTTCTGTCACCAAAGTACCTCTGAATACATATGTAGACTTTTTCTGCAAATAACCTATTTTTTTCTCTACTCTGTACAATTTGTCTAAAGAATAAAAGTCCAAAGTCAAATTTGCTCTTGTTAACCCAGAAATATATCTGCCTTATCTAGAAGTACTCTTATAAAAGGGTCTTAACTAAATATAGTTTTAATTAAGAGTGTTTTCGATTGAAATAAGTTATCTGAATTTCAAACGTCAAAAAATAAATTTCATGAAAACTGAATTGAAAGATAATGGGATTTTCCCACACATTATTTGAAGCCCCCTCGTATATCATTTCATGAAGCGTTTGTTTCAGTCATTGAGTCGGAGCCTCCGTGTTTGAGTCATAAAGACTTGGGACAATCTGACTTGGGGTGAAGGTAAATGGAGAAGGGAAGAAGCCCAAGAATAAAGCTTGCGAAGACAATGCTGAGGAGACAGGTCAGGGGTGACTAAGGAGGTGGAAGGAAAACCCAGATGGTGTTCTGAAAACTGAAGGAGGAAAGACAGGCTTGGATTTGGATTGTCTGCGTCTCCCCAGCCTTATGGCCTTGCACACCTGAGCCTCAGTTTCCTCAGTTGTAAAACAGATGGAAAGTCTCTGGGCATTAAGGTGGGTGTGAGGACTGAGTGTGTCCTCAACACGGGGCTATGGAGCAATTTTGATTCTAGTCCTGGCCCTTTGAACTCCTACAGGCTAACAGGTTGCCCTCCCACTGTGCAGATAGAGAAACTAAGGTCCAGAAAGTAGAAAAGTCTTTCATGAGGCCACCTGACCAGTGAAGGGCAGAGCCTGGGTACTGTGACTCCCAACCCAGGGCTCTCTCTTCCCTCTGTATGCACGGACTCCTTGATTGTCTGGGTCTGGCCCTGCTGTCCTCAGCGGCCCCTGACTTTGGACTGGTGTTGTAGACGGAGAGCCGCCTGGGGGGGAAGGGGGGTGTCCCTGGGGGCTGTCTGAAATTCCTCTGGTGGCCAGCAGCCAGGGTAGACGTGCTCCGTCCCTTCCTGAAGCCCCGGCCTTCCTGACCATCCAGGAGAAGGAAGGAGCCCACAGTGGGGTCCAGGCACAGGGGCCTGGCCACCTGCCACGTGTCTCTTTGACGCATGGACAGGGGGCACCTGAAATCATCTGTATCAGTCAGGGCCCCAGCAGGAAACAGATGGTAGGTTCAAATGGGATAAATTGAGGAGAGTTTCATAAAGGGTCTGTTTACACAGGTGTGGTTTAGAGAACCCACAAGGGACAGTGCTGAATCCCAGGGCTGGCAGCAGTGTAGGCCATGACGGCTCGCAGCCTAAATGCGGTGTGTGTGTGTGTGTGTGTGTGTGTGTGTGTGTGCGTGCGCCCACGCGCGTGCAGGAGTGGTTTTCAGAGCCAGAGCGGGCTGCATGAAGGTGCCTTGACAGGGCTGTGGCCTTCAGGGGAGAAAAACTGCAGAGGAATGAATACACTGCTCCCTTGCAAGTGGGGGATGGAGCTGTATGTCCACCCAGGGTCAGCCTCCCAGCTCCAGGCAGAGTGGAGGGGCACCAGGCTTTCCAGGGGCAGGAGATCCAGTCCCAGGTCTCCTCCATTGGGGACCAGGAGCAAGACTCACCTCTTTGTACTTCAGTTATCCTGTGCCTTTATGATCCACCCCTCTACCCTTCTTTCCTTTCAGGGTACCTCATGCTTTCAATAAGTGTATCAAAAGGACCAAAAGGTCCTGGGATCTGTGTTGGGCACTCAGTGATACAAAGGACATTGAGGTCCCTGCCCTCATAGTCCTTTCTGTTCAATGAGGAGATTTACACAGCACAACCTCACATTTCAGCCCCACCTCCACTCCATCCCCTTGGACCCGATGTCTTCCCTCCTCCAAATGTCTCTGAGCTCAGGGTTCCCTGCTCATGATTACCTATAGTGTTTTTCTCTCTCTAGAGTTTCTGAAAGTTTGTCCTCCTGTCCACCTAGAGTCTCTCCTGCTTTCTAAAGAATCTATTGGGTTTTATGACGTGGTGTGAATCGATTGGTCAGAGTCTAAGGAAGTGGGGTTAGGGAGGAGGTTTTGGAAGAGCCTTCTGTGGATTCCCTGTTACTGCCATTGGATTCCCATCCCCTCTCACATCTACTTTGGACAACAATCTCCCCTATCCTGTGACATCCCCAGTCCCACAGATCCTCTCATTCCAAATTCAGCTCAGGTGATGGCAACAGGCAAGGAGTTGAACTGATAACCCTGAACACATAACCCTGGGGTGGCCACTTTCCAGCTGGGGGTCTTGGGAAAGTCACACAGAATGGGTGCCCCCTTTATAAAATGAAGGTATAGCGGTACCAAAAAGGAGCTCTGGTAGCGTAGTGGTTACGAATCGGGCTGTGAACTGCAAGGTCAGCAGTTCGATATTACCAGCTGTTCCGCAGGAGAAAGATGAGGCTTTCTGCTCCCATACAGATTTATAGCCTCGGAAACCCTGTACAGGGTCACTATGAGTCGGAACTGACTCCATGGCACACAACAACAATAGCAGTACCAACCTCCTGGGTCAATGTGAGGACTCAGAGTTGATCATGTGAGTGCCTAGGCCGGGGCCTGGATGAACTGTCCCTGGGGCAGAGATTCTGGTGCAGGTCCCAAGGACCTCAAAGCCCCCACATTGAAGTAACCCTTTGCCTATCATGGTGCTCACTTCCCCATCCCCTCAGTTGCAGGAAAAGACAGAGGAGTGGCCCCTTCAACATCACAGCCTTGCCAGCCTGCCAGACATGGGTGTGTCTACCTTGACCCCACACCCATGCTTGGCTGAGAATTGGCCAGTAGCTGCAGGGCTGGCCAGCTGACCCTTCCCCCAATCCCCACCCAAGGAGCCCCAACGCCCTTTCCGAAGCTGGGTTAGCTCCTGTGGAGACAGACAGCCTGCTCTGTTTATTGGAGCTGCCTGCCAGTGAGGGCTGGGAGGCATCACAGACTAGGCCTCAGACCCCAGAGCAACACCCTCCCTCCAGAGGTACCCAAAGCTCCAGTTTTCTCCTCCCTACCTGGCCCATGTCTCTCAACGTGTGGTCCTGGACAGGTGGCTTCATCTTCTGCCTGCCAGAATATGCCAAGATTCATTTTCTCAGAACCTAGCTCTAGCAGCATCTTCCTACTCAAGAACCTTTCATGATTTCCAATGACCTTCAGAAGCCAGTTCTCCCAGAACATGGCTGGAGTCTGCCTCTTCAGGCTTACTGCCCACACCACCCCCAACTTGTCCCATGGTGGTTGGACCACTTCCTGCTCAGGCTGGTCTCCCTGCCCGGAATGGTCTCTTCCCCTTTTACTCACCCAGGCTTTCAAGGCCAGGCTTAAATGCTACCTCCTCCAGGACACCTAGGCTTCCTCTGAGCTCCATTGGCTGACCCTAGCGCTATGTACTTAACACATGTTGGACACAGAGTAGGTGCTTACTGTTTGCAGAAAGAGTATGGCTTCCTCCTGGAGCCCCAGATTAGCTCCAAGTTGTTCTCTTCTTGAGTTCCAGAATCATTTCCCAGGCTCAGGGGGTGTGAATGAGGGAGAGTCTGAGGCCCCCTTCAATGGGCACTTCCTGTGTGCCAGGCCCAGGGTTCATCACTGTAGAACCCTGATTCTTGGAAATCTCACCATGGTCTGGTGAGGAAGGCACTATGGTGCCACTTTACAGATGGGGTGGCTGAGGGTTTAGTGGATTTGCTCAAGATCATTTAGCGCAAAGCAGGGTTGAGAACCCAGGGTCAACTGACTTTAGAAGTTGAAGGTCTGTCCCCCTTTTGTTTGGGGCTATTCTTTGTCCCTGGAGAATTTTCCACTCATGGAGAGGCTGGCACGATGTGTGTGGTCCTGAGTGAGTCTCCTGCCTTCTCTGGGTCTGGAGACCCTGGCCCAAACTGGCTTGCTGTGCCAACTTGGGAGTGTTCCTTCTGCATCCTGGGCCTTGGTTTCCCTGGCTGTGAAACAAGGAAGGGCAGCCTAATGACACTATTATCTGAGTTATCTGGAGAGTTTGATGAAGATGGGTTTGAATTCCAATGCCAGCTCCTTCTTGTGTCAATTATCTCACCCATCAAGCCTCTGTTTATGCATCTGCAAAATAGGAATTTTGAGTTCATGGAATGTGAGTCCCACATGACTGATCTTCGCAAAGGCCAAGATCCTAGAAGGCCCTAGTCCCTGGAGTGCTCTCCTGGTGGGCTGTTAGGATGATTGTTTTCATCTGGAGGAGTGGAATGGGAGGGTGAAGTGGGTGGAGAGACAAGCCTGGAGCTTGGGCACTTCTACTCCCACTCCCCCAAAGGGCCCCCCACCCAGCAACAAAGCCCGTGGCACTTCCTCTACTCGCCTGGCGGGAGGCCTGGCCCCACCCCTTTTCTAAGGAAGCGCATTTCCTGCCTCCCCAGCCTGACTGGATGAGCCCAGAGCTCCCTGCCACCGACGGTCAGACCCCAGTCTCCATCTGTGTCCAAAGATTCCCTCTACTGCTGTCCACAGCAGCCAGCATCCCCTCCTTGCCCATCGTTGGCTGACCAGTCTTGGATCCCTGGCCCAGACCCTTGTCCCTCTGTCCACTTCTCCTGATCCCTCGGCCGCCCCCGCAGAAGGCTGGAGCGGGGACGCCGTTGCTCCGGCCGCCTGTTCCCTTCGGGTCCCCACACGAGCCCACGCCGGCCTCCAAGCCCACCCGAAGCCCTGCCCTTGGACACCGGATAAGGTCCTGTGCACAGAACCCCGGGTGGAGAACATGGACCGCGACTCGCTCCTCCTGGTCGTTGCCCTGCTGCTGGCCGTCTGCAGTTTCAACCCCACAAGTAGGTGTCCAGGATCCAGGGGTGGGAGACAAGGCCTGGAGAGGGCAGGGCTTGACCTAGCACACAGCCCAGTCCTCCTGGCGCCCGATGCAGCTGGTCTGTGTCCTGTCTGGGAGGGTTGGACATTGAGAACTGGAGGCTAGAGGGTGACCAATCTTTAGTTTGGGACTGAGGGGGTTGACTTTTTAGAAGGCGGTGTTCCAGGATGGTAGGTCACCTTAATTTTGAACCCCTTGTGTCTGCCGTCTCAGCTGTGCCCACTTTCTCCCCAGCAAGTCCAGGTTATCTTTCACCTCTTGTACCCCCTTCCCTGTTGTGTGGCCCCAGGACAGTCTTCTGACCTCTCTGGCCCTTGAGTTTTTCATTGAATGAAGGTGTGGAAAGAGGAGTTCCCCTCTTTCCCCCCACCCCCATGGCCCAGTGTTCAGAGTGTGGGCTCTGGAGTCAAATTTGGATTCTGCCTTACTGTGTCATCTTGGGAAAATGCCTTCATACCTCTGAACCCCAGTTTCTTCAATTACAAAGTTGGAATGGTAATAAACAATCCCCTCAGACCTGTTGCTAGTGGCGATGAGGTAATGCTTGCAGTGTGCTTTTTATAGAGAAGTCTGGCACAGAGCACCCTTTAGGACGGGCCTACAAAGCGCTCACCCTGTGTCTATCTTCCTTTTGGTGCTACCTAAGCAGATGAAGGTACAGGCTAGATGAGGTGGATAAGGGTTCAGGTCTAGTTTAGGAGGCCTGCAGGGGTTCCTCAGCCTGGGGAGTTTCCAAATGGTCTGAAACTCTGACCAGGGGTGGGGACCTTGAGGCATGGGGGTCCCCACTCATTGTGCGCCTCTGCTGTGTCTTACTCCTCATCCACCTAATGCCACAGGACATCCCTGTGGGCACCACTTTACCCACCGGATGAGGCCAGAAGTCTATAAAGAATCCGGAGCGGGAGGGGAGGAAGAAGCCGCTTGTGTGGGGACGAGCATGAGAACGGGAACACGGGCACTGATGGCCATTTGGCGACTCACTTACCCCATAGCATATAAAGTGCGAATCCTGGTGTGGTACTGTAGGATAGCACCAAACTGCTAACCACAAGGTTGTGAGTCAAGCCACCAGCCACTCCTTTGAAACTCTACACAGGGTCACTATGAGTCAGAACCGAGTCATTGACATTTAACAATAGCCACCATCCTTGGTCATTAATATCACACGGAAGTAAAATTTTACTGAAGGTCATTCAACTATGGTTGCAGCAGTACATCAACAGGGAATGTCTAGAAATTCAGGCTGGATTCAGAAGAGGATATGGATCTAGGGATATCAGAATGACATCAGAATGATCTTGGCTGAAAGCAGAGAATACCAGAAAGATGTTTACTTGTGCTTTATTGATTGTGCAAAGGCATTCAACTGTGTGGATCATAACAAGCTATGAATAACATTGTGAAGAATGGGTACTCTAAACATTTCATTGTGCTCATAAGGAACCTGTACATAGACCAAGTGACAGTAATTCAAACAGATCAAGGGGCTACTGTGTGGTTTAAAATCAGGAAAGGCGTGCATCAATGGTTGTAACATTTCACCATATTTATTCAATTTGTATGTTGAGCAAATTATCCAGGAAGCTGGAATATATGAAGAAGATGGCTGAATCAGAATCAGAGGAATTCTCATTAACAATCTGTAAAAGCAGATGAAACAACTTTGCTTGCTGAAAGCAAAAAGGACTTCAGGCTTTTATTGATGAAGATCAAAGACTCTAGCTTTTCTTATGGGTTGCAACTCAATGTAAAGTAAACAAAATCTTCACAACCCGGCCCAGTAAACAAATCATGATAGATGGAGAAAAGACTGAAGTTGTAAAAGATTTAATTTTATTGGATCCACCAACAATGCTTGTAGAAGCAGCATATTGCATTAAGCAAATCTGCTGCATAAGACCTCTTTAAAATATTCAGGAGCAAAGATGTCAGTTTGAGGACTAAGGTGCTTCTGACCCAAGCCATGGTATTTTCAATCGTCTCATATGCATGTGAATGCTGGGTGATGAATAAGGAAAATGGAGCCGAACTAATGCATTTGAATTGTGGTGTTGGTGAAAAATATTGAAAATACCATGGGCTGCCAGAAGAACAAGCACATCTGTCTTGAAAGAAGTACAGCCAGATGCGAGGATGGTGTGACTTCATCTCATGTCTTTGGACATGTTATCAGAAGGGATCAGTCCCTGGAGGGTGAGCGGAGAAGAGGAGGACCCCCAAACAAGACGGATTGCACAATGGCAGCATCAGTGGACTCAAGCTTCATGACGACTGTGAGACTGGTGCAGGGCTGAGCGTGGTTCATTCTGCTGTACATAGTGTCGCTATGAGGCAGCGCCTACCCCGTGGTGGTACCTAACCACAATTATCCTTGGTCTCTAACACTCTTACTACTGCTCCCCTGATAAATGAGAAACTACATCTCAGAAATTTTAAGTGACTTAGGGATTTCCCCTGCCCTTGCCCCAGAACATTTTTTATTAACCTCACATGAGGGGCAAACCTTCTTGGGATGGCTCACAAACACCCTGCAAGATGGCTGCCATTGTTAACCCCATTATGAGGGAAAGGGAATGAAGGCTCTGACCTACCCAACTTCACACAGGACAGAACCATCTCTGGACTCTGAGATGAGTCTCCAGGCCGGCTCTGCCTTTCTTCCTACTGCATCTCATCTGTCTCTTCCTCTGGTCATTGGAGAAAGATCCATACAGACATTTGAGGTTTGGTTTTATATGATGAAAGACATGATGGTATGTTGGTAAATAATAACACTCACAGCTAAAAATAAGCAATTTATAGTGTTTGTCCATTTCCGTGATGTAAATACACTCACATGATTTCAAGCTACCAACTCCCAAACCTTACAGTTGGAAAGAGCAGCAGCATATTATATAGTATTTCTATCACCCAGATACAATAATATAAATACCCTTAAGAGCAATTTGTTGTTGTTGTTAGGTGCCATCGAGTCGGTACCAACTCATAGCGACCTTATGCACAGCAGAACGAAACACTGCCCGATCCTGGGCCAACCTCACTACTGTTGACACGCTTGAGTCCATCGATACTGCCACTTGGCCAATCCATCTCATTGGGGGCCTTCCTCTTTTGCTCTGACCCTCCACCTTACCAAACAAGATATCCTTCTCCAGCGACTGGTCCCTCCTGACAATATGTTTGAAGAATAAGAGACGAAGTTTGGCCATCTTGACCTCCAAGGAGCACTCTGACTGCACTTCTTCCAAAATAGATCTATTGGTTCTTCTGGCAGCCCATGGCACTTTCAGTAATCTCCTCCAACACCATAACTCAAAAACATCAATTCTTCTACAGTCTTCCTTATTTACTGTCCAGCTTTTACATGCATATGAGGTTATTGAAAATACCATGGCTTGGGTCAGGCACACCTTAGTCTTCAAGCTGACATCTTTCTTTGCTTTTCAACACTTTAAAAAGATCTTGTGCAGCAGATTTGCCTAATGCAATACGTCCTTTGATTCTTGACTTCTGCTTCCATGAATGTTGATAGTTGATCCAAGAAGAATGAAGTCCTTGACAACTTCAATCTTTTCTCCATTGATAAGAATGTTGTTTATTGGTCCAGTGGTGAGGATTTTTGTTTTCTTGACATTGAGATGTAATCCATGCCAAAGGCTGTGCTCTTTGATCTTCATCAGTAAATGTTTTAAATCCTCTTCACTTTCAGCAGGCAAGGTTGTATCATCTGCATATTGCAGGTTGTTAATGAGTCTTCCTCCAATCCTGATGCCACATTTTTCTTCATATAAATACCCAGTTTCTCGGATTATTTGCTCAGCATAGATAGGTTCAATAAGTATGGTGAAAGAATGCAACCCTGTCGAGATGATAGTAAAATGGAGCAAAATCATTAGGAAGTGACAGGTTTTGATATTTGTAGCTTTTGTTTTTAGTATAACTTATTGAAACCCTATAAAGGGTCGCTATGGGTCGGAACCGACTTGACGGCACTCAACAACAACAACAATTTAAATTGTAAGTTTTATATAACTTAATTAATAATGGCTCGTTTAAACAACCGATTTGGAAAACTCCAGAAATTTTATCAATCACTCTTGTGAGCATGTGCATGTTGGCTCTAGCACCCTACTATTTGTAGGATTCAAGGACTTTACAAATCATCCAGCTCAATTCATTTACAGCCTGGGAAACTGAGGCCGAGGGAAGGCAGGTGAGGGAATGAGCCAGATCTCCAGGTCAGGAGTGAAGCAGGCATCCTTGTTCAGGTTGGAGGGCATGAAAACAGCTCCAAAACTGGGGCCCAAAACAGGCCCAGCTTTCTGGACACAATTTGGCAGCATTCCTCAAAATTATAACTGTGTGTGCCACTAGCCATTTTGCCCTGGCCACTCAACTTCCAGGAAGAAAACCTATGGAGACATTTGTTCAACTTGCCTTAGGGACCAAGATGTGTGGTCCCTAGGTACCTGTAACAAACACAATTGGAAACCACCTAAATGTCTACCAACAGGTACCCATTAAATAGATAACTATGCAGCAAAATACCATGCAGCAAGAAAAAGGTGGATCTATGTGTGTACTATTGTGAACAGATATCTGGGGCACACTGTTTCCAAACAATAGTTTTTTCATTTCTGTATAATAAAATAGCAATAATACACAGTATGCACAGGGAATATTCAAGAAGGTTCCGTACCTACTGTTACCATTCTCTAGGTGGGGGTTTCTTTGTTGTTGTTAAGTATCATCAAATCAGTTCCAACTCATAGTGACCCTGGATAGGGTTGCCAAGGAGCCCCCAGTGGGTTTGAACCACTAACTCTGCAGTTAGCAGTCCAGTGCTTATCCCACAGTGCCACATCAGGACTCTGAGGTTTCTTTAGAGGCTTTATTATTTTAACATTTTAAGATACATTTTTTTCTATGATGTTGAAATTTTTTTTTAAGACCAAGTAT